CTTAGGTGTATGTGGCTGGCGCCTTAGCCACTTGAGCCACAGGAGCTGAGCCTATTTATTTATTTTTGAGACAGAGTCTTACTCTACTGCCCTGGGTAGAGTGCCTCAAACTCCTGGGCTCAAGCGATCCTCCCACCTCAGCCTCCTGAATAGCTGGGACTATAGCCACCACCACAATGCCTGGCTAGTTTTTCTATTTGTAGTAGAGGCAGGGTCTCATTCTTGCTCAGGCTGGCCTAGAACTCCTGAGCTCAGGTTATCCTCCCATCTTGGTCTCCTAGAGTGCTAGGATTACAGGTGCAAGCCACCATGCCCAGAGTATAACAATCTTAAATAGCAGTCCCAGGTCCCACTGTTGATACTTCATAGAAGCCTTGAGAACTTTCCTACTAAATCTGCATGTTCAAATCCTCAGCAAGCACTATATCCAGAAACAAGTCAGAACTTAGCTTTAGGAAGTAAGGTTTCAGCCCTTGCAATCCAGCCACTCCACTTGATTTTATTCAATGAACACTACAGCACCTTTATAACAGCACGCACTGTGTCCTGCTTCTGTGATATCAGGGTGAGCCTTACTTGCAAGCACTGAGGATGCTCCAGTGCCCTAACTTCCTCTCAGCAGCCAGCCGAGAGGGTTTCCTCTTCCTTTACAGTCTCCTCCTTGCCCTCCCTGACCCTCAGCCAGAGCCTGTTTTATGAACCACTGGTAACGCTGGCCCCAGGAGGTATAGAATCAAGCCTTGAAATCCAGAAGCCCCTGCTCCTCCCAGAGGCAACATCTTTGTAACCTCAGCAACTAGCCCAGGGCAAGGGACAGAGGAGGCCTCAGTCATGTGCTTCAGAATGGTGATGAGGGTAGGATCATTGCCCAGTAGAGATAAGAAATTCAGGGATCTTTGGAAATAGTAATCTCCAAACTGCCTGGGGAGGTAAAGAAGCCATACAGTAGTAGCGTTTTTCGGCCTTTTTATCTCTCAGCACACTTGAACCTATAGTTAAACTTCCGTGGTACACGTAAATTATGTTGATCAAAAAAAAGAGTAAAAAATGATACTTACTGCACTTTGAACTTTTTTCAAAAGTAATTTAATTAATGATCTTTAAACGTTTTTGTGGCACCTAAGATCCTCTAGCAGCACAAAAGTGTGCCGTAGTTCCCTGGTTGAAACTCACGGCCACAGATCATTCCTCAGCCCCTCCAGCCACAGCCTTGCAGACACATCCCCACAGCTCCCTCTGGATCCCATCACTTACCCAGGGCTCCCTGACAGATGTCTGTGCGGGTAGCTCCTCCAACAATAAATTCGGGATCAGCGCAGATCTCCTGGGAATGAGACCCAGAAAGTGCTGTCAGCCCACCAGGCAGGAGCTACAGTAGTTAGGATGCCTCAGATTCCAGGGGAAGCTTCTAAATAGTTCTCCTCCCCTCTCCCTCCAAAGTTTGGGAGTCCCAATGGGAGCTCTTTGCCTTGAGGTCCTCCTGACCCCTACTCTGTGGGCCCTCGTGGGTAGGTGGGGGATCCCCTGACTGAGAGGGGCAGTCAGTGGAGCCCACACCCTCTAAACCGCCCAGAGCCTCCTTCACTGGGCTGCCTCCCCTAGGCCACAGCAACATCAAGTCCAGCCTTTCCTGCCAGGCATTGAGACTGTCCATGCTCTGGAGCTGCCCTATGGGCCACACCCTCTCCTCTCTTCCTTCATTCAACTTGATCTGCTTGCCTGGAACTCCTCCCTTTCCCACTGTTTCCTCCTTTTCCACATTGTATCGTATTTCAGGTTCATTGCCACCTCTTCCATGAAGCTCTCCTTCATAGTCCAACCTTACTCACCCTTTGTCTGTCTCGCAGTCTCTGTAATTCAGCACTTAATTGTGCACTGTTGCTGGTGCTCATGGGTATTCCTGTCTTCCTAACACATATCCTTTTGGGGGTCAGGGGATTAGATCTAGCCTTCCGAATTCCACACACGGGCCATGATGCTTAGAGCACCCACATGTTCTGTACCTGCAGTATATCAGATACTGTGATTAAACTGTATCTCACAGTCCTCTCAGGAACACAACATGGGTATTACCCCCATTGTACAGGTGTGGAAACAGCTCCAGGAGGGAAAGCGGCATGTCACACAGCTCACATGAGATAAACAGCGCTGGCATTTGGACATACCAGTCTGACAGCACCAACTCTTTCCATTCCTGCCCCACCTCTGATTGATTAGTAACAAGCTTCCATAAAAGGGTGTTAAAAGCGCAGGGGCGACTGTTACAGCCAACCGCGGACAATCCTGCCCTTTCAGCAGCCCTCTCTGAATGTGTGTCTTGATTGTGAAGCACCCCACCCAAAGCCACAGAGGAAGTCGGGCACACATCTGAGGCTCTCTTGGCTCAAGCAGCCCTGATCTGGAGAGCGGCACTGAGTCTCACATCCACTGGAGGCCTGCACGTGTGCACCTCTACCCCCGGCCCAGGACGCGCCCCTCTGCCAAGCAGACGCTTTCCTGGGTGAGACTTAGAGCCCTGTCCATCTCGGCTCAGAACGTGGAGATTCACCTAGAAGCACAGTCTGCGGCAGACCCTGTCCCCTTCATATCTCTGCAGTTTGTCTTTCTGTTCATATCTGGCGGTTTTAGGGGTGACGGAGACAATGAGAATGTTCTTCTGCTGAGACAAACAAAGTCAGCTCAATCCCAATGCCTGCCAGCCATGCACTTATCCAACTGATGGAGCTTCTCGGGCTTGGTGCCGGAGCCTCTTTATTATAATCATATTGATAATTCTGAGTGTGCCAGGCCCTTACTCCAGGAGGATTTTTCCATTATGTTGCACAAAACTTTCTCATGCCTCTGGCAGCCTTTTCAGAGAAGTCAAAGTTCAAAGTGGTGCTTAGAGATGTTTCAGTAAACTGAATCTTAGGCACAGCATGTAGGGTGTCAAGTTAAATATGGGAAGTAAGAGTCAGAGAAAAAGGGTTGAGGGCTTGGGCTTTGGATTCCAATAACTTGGGCTTGAATCCTGGCTGTGCCACCTATTAATACAGGTTCAAGGACCTCGGCATGTTACTTAACCTCCTGAAGCTTCAGTTTTCTCCTCTGTAAAATGAGGTTGTGATATACCTACCATAGAGGATTGTTCTGAGAGTTAAAGGAGCTAACTATGTAAACATGCCTTGGGGTAAGCACTCCGTAAAGATGATCTATTATTATTACTATTAAAGAAGTTAATAGGCTTGGCTCGGCGCCTGCGGCTCAAGCAGCTAAGGCACCAGCCACATACACCTGAGTTGGTGGGTTTGAATCTAGCCCGGGCCGCCAAACAACAATGATGGTTGCAACAAAAAACAGCTGGGCATTGTGACCAGTGCCTGTAGTCCCAGCTACTTGAGAGGCAGAGGCAGGAGACTCGCTTGAGCCTGGAAGTTGGAGGTTGCTGTGAGCCGTGATGCCTCAGCACTCTACCCAGGGGGACAGCTTGAGGCTCTGTCTCAAAAAAAAAAAAAAAAGTTAATAGGCTTAGCACTCTGGGAAGCCAAGGTGGGAGTATCTCCTGAGCTCTGGAGTTTGAGACCAGCCTGATCAAAAGGAAGACCTTGTCTCTACCAAAAATAGAAAACTAGCCCGGTGTGGTGGAATGTGCTTATAGTCCTACTTGGAGGCTCCTCAGGAGGCTGAGGCAGGAGGATTGCTTAAGCCCTGGGCATTTGAGGCTGCAGTTGTTGCAGGAAGACGAGGCCTAATGGAGAGCAAGAGCACCCAAACACCATGTTTATAAGAGGAAAGGCTTTATTTCAGCTGGCGGAGCAAATGGCATGGAAGAATTCAAAATGGCTGTGCTCCCCGGCTGGCTTGGTCTTTCCCTTTTTATCTCCCGTCAAAAAGTTTCAACCCACAGGTACCTTTCTCATTGGACAGTTTGACTCAAGCGAGAGAAACTGTTCCAGACCCCACAGAACTACAGAATTTCATAGGAGCAGAAATTTCCAGGTCCCAGGAAGTTAAGTTTACAAATTCCTAACAGCTGAGTCACCATGGAGAGGACCCTGCAGGTGTATCCCTGGGATCTCCTTGAGAAGAGAGGAGGTCCCCTAGACCTCACCCTTCCCAGGTATCCTCTCTCACAGTGAGCTTTGAGGACATTACTGCTCTTTACCTGGGGGTGACAGAATAAATCTCTGTCTCAAAAAAGTTGATGATGATGAAAAAAAGAAGTTGATGATAATCACTGGAGACAGCAGTTGGAGACAGGATATATGGGTTTGAGGCTGAGTTCAGCCATCTAAATAGAAACGAGTGATAAACCCCTCAGGGGTAAGGTCCTCTCAGTGGAAAAATGGGACTAACAGTACCTGCCCTTGCTCCTACCTGACTGGTTGCTGGGGGAACCGGATTTGCGGCTGTGCATCATGAGGCTTTCTCCTACTGTGCCTGTGCGTAGCTCTTAGACTCCACCATGACTTTGACCACTTCCTGCCCTATCCCCCTTCCTGCCTCTGGAGCCACTCAGTGGCCAGTGTTGTGAAATCCCCTTTTGGAGGAAAAGCGGACAGCCCCTCCTGGCCGCAGCAAGACGACCCATTCTGCCCCACTGCCCCCATCCCCTACTCTGACTTCCTCAGGGTCCCTGCTTCACTAACCCCACCCCCACCTTTACCTTAAATCCCTTCTGCTCTGGTGACTCAGCATACAACACATTCAAGTTGCTCTTGTCTGAAGAAACAGCCTCTGCACCCCAGGTTTCCCCTGACCCACCAGTTTCTCTCTCTCTCTTTACAGATGCCCTTCTTAGTGAGTTGATCACATTTTTCAGTTCCGCTCTCTCTTCTCTTTCCACTCTCCTGCCTGTCTGCTCTACTCTTCTCTCTACCCCTCTTCCCCCTCACTCTTCTCTACTCTCCCTCTCTCTCTTCCCTTCCCACTCTCCCCTCTTTTCTCTTTTCCTTAATGCTGCTCCACAGCCTCCCTCCTCCACCAATAAAACCTTTCATACAAAAAAAAAAAAAAAACAACAACATTCTTCAGTTCCAGACTTCCCTTGGAGTCTGCAGCAACGTGACCTCTATTCTCACTTTTCCATTGAAATTGCTCTACTAAAGTCACCAACTACTTGCTAATGTCCAAATCCAGGGGAAACATTTTTTCTTTCATTTGCCCACCCCCAGCAGTGTTTGAAATGGTAGGCCAGAGGCAGAGCTACCGGCCATAGGGGATGGGCTCCATGCTCAGGCTAGACACAGTCCTGGCTCCAACCTGTCCATCTGTTTGCCTCTGAGTAAGTATTTAACTTTCACAAACCTCCATTTCTTCAGCTAATGAATGGAAATAATAAAAGCCACAGTCCCTCTTGGTCGTGCAGTGCACAGCCTGTGTGCCCTAAGAATGGCCCTGAAATGGCTCCAGATCTCTGTTTCCTCATCTGAAAGTCCTATAGGCGCTTCCAACTGTTGGAGTGGCTGTTTGTCTCACCTTACTAATCTCCAAAGTCTTCAGAAGCAGAAACTATATGCACTGTGGGTGGCATACAATAGGCATACAATAGTCCTGAAACTACAGCCCGTGGACCACAGGCAGCCCATCTAGGACATTTATCTGGCCCACCGGCTGTTTTTGCCGCTGCTGCCTGTCCTGCTTAGCAGCTGACTTGTCCCAGGGCCTGCAGTCCGGCCCTCCAAGGGTCTGAGGGACAGTGAACTGGCCCCCTGTTTAAAAAGTTTGAGGACCCCTGCAATAGGTGTTCAATAAATACGTACGGAGTGAAAGAATAAATGAAAGAACACGTGAATTCACTGTGTAAACTGCAAAGTGCCGTACAAATGTTCAGGGTACACATTCTCTTGCTTGTGTATCATTTTCACAACCACAATTTCATTAGAGGCTCCTTACAATCCTGCATTCATTCATTCTGCAGATAGTCACTATTTTTTGTGTTCCCTGATCTATCTCCTAAGCACTGAGGGCAGTGCCTGGCATATAGTAGGCACTCAATAAATACTGTTGAATGAATACCATGAAAGGGCACTGAGCAAGCGAGGCCCTGGGGAGGTTTTGGTAAATAACAAACATGTGGTGCCCGCAGTTTAGCAGGAAGCGTCCTTATATTTATAAACTGTGAAGCTACTGAAGGAAGGCAGCAGGGTGTGGTGTCAGAGAGTAACGAGGGGGGAGGTCACTGCAAAGAATGGTCAGGGAAGGCCTCTTTGGGGAGGGGACATATGACTAAGTCCCAAGGAACGAGAGTGAACCAGACTCAACAAACCCAGGGAAGATCACCCTGGCAGGTGAGAAGGCCTAAGGCAGGAAAAAACTGGCCCTTGGAGACACTGGGCCTGGTGAGCCAGAAAAAATATCTAGGCATCACCTCTTCTTTTAAATGAAGAAATGGAGCCACAGACAGGTGAGACAGCTCACTCAAGGTCACCCAATAGGTTAGCAAGGATGAGAACCCAAGTGCTCTGAGTCCTGGTCTAGGCAGTTTCCTGCCACTCTTGCTACCTAGGGCCTGGATTTAGGATAACTAATAGAAGGTGGCCTGGAGGCTTGGGTGTGTGGAGGGCTTGTCCTCATAATGGGAATCTAGAATTTGAATTTCCCAGGAAGTCTTCCCAGGGGTGATGGGGGAAGCCTGGTGAAGTGGCTGGTAGTCGGGGGAGCCAGCAGGGATTTCATGGGCAGCAGAATCCACAAGTAGATTAGGGAGCAGAAGTTGTCCCATGGTCTGGGAGGGCCAGACGATAGAGACCCTGAGGGGCAGGATAAGGGTCCTTGGAGGGGTCCCTGAGGTTCCTCCGGAGCATCTTGGGCTAGTGGAATAGTGATGAGGCACTGGCTCCTTGAGAACCGTGGCCTTTGCTAATTACCAGTGTAAATGTTATGGGGAGGTTTCTCTAGCTCCCCTTTGGAAAAATAAACAAGAAACTCTGATTGGATAAATCTAACCACTAGGACTGTATGAGACAATCCTCAGTCCCCCTACTGTCTCAGGCAGAACGCAAATTAGAGGCAAACTTTCCTCGTCAGATACTGCCTCCTACCCTCCTTTCCCCTCAGACTCTCTTCCCTTCCATCACCTCCCCAATGGAGTCCCGAGAAGGTTTCACCACTGCTGCTTTGTGTCACCCCAAGTTTTTGTGAAGTCGAAAGGCAGCTCCTCCGGCGGGCCTGCTAATGGCATTGGAGAGGAGAGACGCGCCCCAACCCATCCAGGGAAGCGTGGAGGGTGGGAGAAGGAACAGGCCCGCTGGGTGGACTGCAGGGCTGCACGGAGTCCCGGGTCCCAGGAGGCTTCCCCCGCAGAGTGGGGGCTCCGCACCACCCCCGGGACTCGGCTCGCTCCCCCACGCGGGGCCGGGACGCGGCCCGCACCACGCCCTGCCCGCCCCCCCACACCCTGCCCGGCCGCGCGCTGCCTACCGTGGGTCGCTTCCATTCGATTCCCCGAGTTTTGCTGGAGTAGGGTCCCAACTCCTTGAAGCCCAGGGACGATGGGCCGGCTGGGAAGGCAGGGTCCTGAAAGAGCGTCCCGGCCTCCAGGCACTCGTTCCGCAGAGCCTCGTAGTCCTGGTTGAGGTACTTGACTGCTCTCTCGTGCGACCCCAGCCCCTCGGCCGCCTCCCGGTCCTTGGCCAGCTTGGCCGCGATGCCCGCCATGGTGCTGCGCGGGGAGCGGGGTCGGGGCGGCTGGGCGCTGCGCTCGGCTGGGGCGCGGCGAGGGCCCGGCGCGCTGCAGCGGACTGCGGAGGCCTCCGGGGCGGGCGATGATTCACCCGGAGGGAAGCGACTCGGCCCGCGGGGTGTGGCCTCGGCCTGCTGGGCGCCCGGCCCGGGACGAGGCCAGCTCGCGGCCTGCAGAGCCCCGGCTCGACCGCTGCAGCCCGCGGGGGCGGTGCTGCCATCTGCGGACGGCTCCGGGGATGGCGCCGGACACTCGCGCTTGGGGTGCAAAAGCCGGGGCTTAAACCCAAACCCGATTGCCAGCTTCCCACCTCCCAGGCTGGGATGGTGGGGACTCTCCAGAAGACACCCCTTGAGTCAGTAGAGGATCAGGGCGTGAAGGCAAGGAGACAGAACCAGCTACCATCTTTCTGCCAAATGCCCTCTTTAGAGCTCTGCGTACAGCATCTCATTTAATCCCCCCAGCAGCTCAGTGAGGAAGGTGCCCTACTCCTTTGAGCCACAGGCACCGCCTAATTTTGCCTTTTTTTTTTTTTGAGACAGAGCCTCAAGCTGTGTCCCTGGGCAGAGTGCCGTGACATCATAGCTCACAGCAACCTCCAACTCCTGGGCTCAAGCGAGTCTCCTGCCTCAGCCTCCCAAGTAGCTGGGACCACAGGTGCCCGCCACAGCACCTGTCTATTTTTTGGTTGCAGCCGTCATTGTTGTTTGGCTGCCCGGGCTAGATTCAAACCCGCCACCTTAGGTGTATGTGGCTGGTGTCTTAGCCACTTGAGCCATAGGCGCCGAGCCCTAATTTTGCCTTTAAAAAAAAAGAATAATACCTTTATCAATATTATTCCCCACACCCATCTATTCTTGCCCTTAACCAGATCCACACTTGCCCTTTTCTTATCCCCTGCTTTGCTTGACCTCAAACTTTAGTCAGGTTTCTCTCCTTCCCGCAGGTCCCAGAACTCTGCTTGCCCCCCAAGCTCAAGCAAGCACAAACAAGTGGGGGGCCCCTCTTGTCCCCATGGGCTTCTCTGGGAATTTGTGGAACCAGAGAGGCCCTTTCCTGTCAGACCTCACCGTCATTTGTCCAGTATCCCTCCAGGGAGTCTGCTTAGTTCTCCTTGCCCTTCTTTATTCTAGAAAAGAAAACCTTTTTTTCCCCCTTGATTTTGAGATGTTTGCAGATTCTTCCCATTGCAACAGGCATAGGATGATAGAGTGAGTCTTTCCTTCTTTCTTGCTTGCTTGCTTGCTTTTTTTTTTGAGACAGAGCCTCAAGCTGTCATCCTGGGTAGTCACCAGGGTAGTTGCCTGTTGCTATCGCCATAGCTCACAGCAACCTGCAGCTTCTGGGCTTAAGCGATTCTCTTGCCTCAGCCTCCCAAGCAGCTGGGACTACAGGCGCCCACCACAACACCTGTCTACTTTTTGGTTGTAGTTGTTATTGTTGTTTGGCAGGCCTGGGCTGGATTTGAACCTGCCAACTCTGATGTATATGGCTGGCATCTTAGCCACTTGAACTACAGGCACCAAGCCATCTTTTTTTTGAGACAGAGTCTCACTATGTCACCTTCAGTAGAGTGCTGTGGTGTCACAGCTCACAGCAACCTCAAACTCTTGGGCTTAAGCAAATGTCTTGCCTCAGCCTCCCAAGTAGCTGGGACTACAGGGTCCTGCCACAACACCCAGCTATTTTTTGTTGCAGGTGTCATTGTTGTTTAGCTGGCCAGAGCTGGGTTCGAACCCGCCACCCTCAGTCTGTGTGGCTGGCATTGTAACCACTGTGCTACGGGTGCCAAAGTAGTCTTTCTTTCTTTTTAAAAAAATTTTCAGAATATTATCAGAATCAGTCATTCTTTCTAATGAAATTCTCTCTCTATCAAAGTCCAGATTTATTTCTATTTGACAGCCTCCATCTCCAGTTTGTAAGTCTGGGCATCCTGCCTGATGGACATATACCACGCCTGCCACAGGCTCTGCTTTCTGTACCTGTGAATGAGATGGGGACTCAGGTTCCACTGTAAAACGGTTAACACTCTGGACTCTGAATCTAGAGATGGGGACAGAGGCATTAATTTCTAGCTCATGAGTTTCTGGTGCAAGGGTTTTATGAAACCATCACAATTGAGAACAGAGGACAGAGAGCCTTTCCCTGGAATCTATTAATTTTTTTCCACTGTCTGATTTCCACTGGCCCCACCCTGATTCCTTCTGGGCTCTGGGCTGTTGGGAGACAGCTTGTCCACCTGTCCAGTGTGGCAGAACTCAGACTTCTCTTGCCAGTCTCCTTGAGGACAGCTCATCCTGGAGGAAGCGCCTCCTCTCAGGCAGGTGAGGTAGTTTTCCTCCCAAGTCCTTTTAGCAACAAATGGGCAGACTGGATCTATCGTTCCAGTTACTTCAGAAGCTTCATGCAGCCTTGGGGCACAGAGCCTGGCTGCTCACCCTGAGCTTCCTCTGCCCCAGCTGGCCAACACCCTCTTGGTGCAGCTCTGGCAGCTGACCTTACCAGCTTTCTAGGGGACACTGTGCACACAGGACTCTGCTTACCTAGGGCCTTAGGCTTAGGTCTTAAGCCCCTAAAATTTATTGGCATACACACAATGATTACTGCCCTCTCCATCTGGACGAGGTCCAATTCTTTTTTTTTCAGTTTTTGGCCAGGGCTGGGTTTGAACTCGCCACCTCTGGCATATGGGGCCAATGCCCTATTCCTTGAGCCACAGGCGCCGCCCCCAGTTTTTATTTTATTTTGTTTTTTAGAGACAGAGTGTTGCCCTCAGTAGAGTGCTGTGGTGTCATGGCTCGAAGCAACCTCCAGCTCTTGGGCTTAGGTGATGCTCTTGCCTCAGCCTCCCAAGTAGCTGGGACTACAGGCGTCCACCACAATGCCCAGCTATTTTTTTGTTGCAGTTTGGCCGGGGCTGGGCTTGAACTCACCACCCTCAGTACATGGGGCCAGTGCCCTACCCGCTGAGCCACAGGGGCCACCCAAGAGGCCCAGTTTTTAAACCTGAGCACTTGCTGCTCTTTGTACTTCCCAGAGCCTCTCACACTATGTTATCTCAGTGGACCAGGCAGACTCTCCTCTTTCTCTGACCACACAATCCTTTCCATAGAGAAACTTAGGCACAGAGACATTCACTCTATCGTCACCACTGTGGAAAGTGGAAAACCTTCCTGGGGTGAGTCACCTCGTCCCAAGGGCAGGCGTGAGTCAGAAGCAACTGAGATTATCCAAAACTGCCTGTGTTTAGGCCGTCATTTTAACCAACTCTACTCAGCAAAACCTAAGTTTGATGAGACATTCATGGGAGGGTCTGCAGTGTGTGTGGATGTGAGTATATGGTTCTTACTGACCAAATAAAGTCGGGAAACATTTCACATGATGTTCCCTTCTTGATGAGTCATAATGTGTATTTTTATAATACCGGCTCTGATAAGTCCTGTAGCAAAGAATTCTGTTTAATTCAGTGTGTCAACCAAGAAGCAAATGCCCAAAGTTAAAAGTGCAAGAGACTTTTGGGGGGTAACACCTGTGAAAATAATGGGGAGAGGGAGCAGGAAGAGATCAAGAGAGCCTGAGACCACAGTGTAGGTGTTAACCTGTGAAGTGAGATGGGGGAGGAAAGACGATGTGGGAGCAGAAGCCTCGACTGCAGCGCCGCTCCAGGAAGCCTCGGTCAGTCCAGTGGAGACTCCGAGCAAAGCTGGCCGATGGAGATCTGCACTGGGCGGAGAAGGCCAGCTTAGGACCTCCCCAGTTGTCCCTGGTGGGGAGAACACATCTTCATCTCAAATGCTTTGCATATGTTTACTAAGGAGTTAACCCTCACCTGCCATCATTTCTACATTTACAGATGAGGGCAAGTGACACTCCAAGAAATTCAGTGACTTGCCAATGGTCGTATAGCTGGTGAGTCATGGAGTTGAACGTATGCAAAGCTGAGTTTGGGAACCTCTGCCTTAGACAGAGCAAATGGGGGGAGACAATGAACGTTCTGATTTGTATTTGTGAGCACTTTGCAAACTGTGATAGGCACAATTACTGCTGACTTCTGAATTCTAAATTCAGAGAAGGCTCCTTAGTTCTTCCTCGGTGTCAGAAGCTGCCCCGACACTGCCGCCCAGCCCCGAAGCTGCCCCGACACTGCCGCCCAGCCCCGAAGCTGCCCCGACACTGCCACCCAGCCCCTCCTGGAAATGTTCTTCCTTCTGCTTCCTCCACGGACACGTCCTCTCCTGGTTTTCTTCTCCTGTCCTGGCTGTTCTTACTTAGCCTTCTTTGCCATTTCATCTTCCTCTGCCTATACCTTTGTGTGAACGATTGAGCTATTTCTGCTTCAAAACCTGCCCGGTTCAGTGACTCCTGAGCTTTGAAATTCCCATCAGAAGGGCCACTTGGAAAAGTAGCCAGTGCTTGAGGTAGAAAAACAGGACGAGTCCATTGACTGAGTCTCTTCTGCCCTCTGGGAGGTGGGGCTTTCTCCCCTTCCCCTTCCCTCCCTCCCCTCTCCTCACCTGATCTTAGCAAAAAGGCCAAGAAGTGATCCCCTTCCCTCTCAATATATTAGTATATGAGAGGAAACTTTTCTTTTTTTTCTCAATTTTTTTTAGAGACAGGGTCTCATTCTGTTGCCTAGACTGGAGTGCAGTGGTGTGATCATAGCTCACTGCAGCCCTGAATGCCTGGGCTCAAGTGATCCTCCCATGTCAGCCTCCCAAGTAGCTAGGACTATGGTTGTGCACCACCACGCCCTGCTAATTTTTTGTTTATTAAATCATAGCTGTGTACAGTAATGCAATCATGGGTACAATGTGCTGGTTTTATATACAGTTTGGAATGTTTTCATCAAATTGGTTAAACACCCTGCTAATTTTAATTTTTTGTAGAGATGGGTCTCACTGCATTGTCCAGGCTGGTCTTTACTCCTGGCTTCAAGTGATCCTTCTACCTTGGCCTCCCAAAATGCTGGGATTATAGGCATGAGCCACTGCCTCAGGCCCAGAGGAGATTTTTCTACAGATTTAGAGATATTTATTTTATGACTTGCTTCTGCAGTCCTGCCTACTCAGAGGCTGAGACATGAGGATGGCTTGAGCCCAGGAGTTCAAGGTTACAGTGAACTACACTGTAACCACTGAACTCTAGCCTGGGTAACAGAGTAAGACACTAACTCTAAAAATAAAAATAAAAACGAGAG